TTTTTTTTAAAAAAAAAAACACTTTTTTAAAAAAACCCCCCAAAAAAAAAAAAAAAAAAAAAAAAAAAAAATATATATATATATATATATATATATATATATATATTATGTGTTGGTTTAAATAGACAAATTTGCTTTCCAATTAACTATTTGGACCAGTCTAACAGAAATCCTCCCTACTTCAAGATAAGAGGGAACTGACTTCTCTCTACTGTATTTTCAAATCAGAACAGCTGCATTTCACAAGCAACTTCGAAATAAAGTTTTGTGTCATCTTAACAGATCTAAACGTACCAGGAGACAGTGGACATACTCCGGTCCTCCCACCAACATAGTGAAATTGCCAAGCTGCTCTGCCAATGCCAAAAGCACCTCATCTTCATCATAGATGGTGTCTGGAAGATGGTAGAATGGTTAAGTGAGAAAACAACAAAGACGACACAATAACCTTTTAATTTATTAACAAGCTTCTGAACGTTACCTGTAAGGAAGGGAAGGAGTTCAGTGCGAGTCCTTTCTACGCCAAGAGCGAGAGCAATAGTAGACAGCTTCTTGATGCTGTTCAGTCGTAACTGTGGAGAAAAAAAAATAAAATAAAACAAATAAAACAGGAGATCGATTAATAATGGGTTCACAACTATTGGAGTATAAATCCCTTCTCTTCAAAATCATCATAGAAAACGACAGAAGTGCATTACTGTTTATGTTGATTCGATGCATCTTCATGACTGGAGATAATTAGCTAAAACAAATCATCGTTCAAATCAACAATAAAAGATAAGTCGAACACTAAAAATGCGGCACTTAAAATAACCCGGCTGTAAACAGAGACTGAGAATGCTACCTGTTATGTCAGTCATTTGGTACAAGATGCTAACGATGCAATAATGCTAGCAGTGAATTCAATGACCTGCTTCGGGTTTTCAAACCATTGCAACAAAACAAGTAACTATATTTATAAATCTTAACGCCTACTAAGGGAGACCGACGTTAATAGTTTCTCTAGAAGAACAAATCTAGCCTCAGCTACCAACAAAAACAAGATTGTCCGGCCAGGGTACGCCCGGCAGAAAATTCCCGACAGGCCTCAACTGGGACGATAGTTAGCATATTTGCTAACAAGCTAGCCAGGAATATAGGGCCCGCCTTAAAAAAAATGCGTTATTTTTACTTTACACAATACGAACAATTGATTTCGTCAATTAATAATACAACCTGGACGTCTTCATTTCGAAGCTCATCAATAAGGACGGCGATAGGGTAAAGAGAGTCGTCTCCATCAGCTCCTGCCATTTTGGATACTATTGCAGTTATCGAATGGCGCTGCTGTTCAGGGCGGCACTACGGGGTTTCTGCGCAAGAACAACCGCTGCAAGGAGCTGCCTCCTCCGTCTCTGCTGTTATGATGCCTTCAATGAACCACTGAGAAACGGCATTATTTAGAACCAGCCATTCAGAATCCAAGTAAATACATTTGAATGAGTAATTTGATTAAAAACGCAAATAAAGAAGAAAAAACACGAGTCACAAGTGAGTGAAAACGTATTTGTGGTAGAGTTTATTTTTGATTAATTTTCAAGAAAATAGCTAGACGAGAAGAAAAACTAACCATGATATGTGGTTCTAAGTTAACTTGACTGGTTTAACAGAATGTTTAATAGCTTATCATTGAAATAATTTAATGCTCATATTGTTACAAAAATACAAAGGAGTTGGAGTCTAACAGTCATTAACAAGAAAAATGAAACGTTCTCTTCTACCAAATCATGGTATTTTAAATGGAGTGAAATTATGTTTGATTTAATTAGTCCCAATCAAATAGACCTACATAGTATGAAGGCTACATTTCAAGTAACTGGAATGATAATTTTATGTAATTATACTTTATTGTATTGTATGGGGAAAATATGTCCATACTTCCATTAGATGCCTTCATCAAACTGCTATTGCACAAAAAACTGTACTGATTTAGTTTACAAATCTGAAGCTTAATTTATTAAAAATGACTTTTTTTCTCAAATAATTGCACAAGGAAAAAGAATGGGATGCAATGTATTAATTATCTAAGTACGAGAAGGAACATTTAAAAAGACAAAAAAAAATAATAATTTTCGGAAATGACTCAGAAGTTAATCTGTCTTTTACTTTGAAACAAGATCAACCGGATATTTCGTATTAACGTTGTTGCAGAGGTGTCAAGATGGCGTCCCAGCAGCAGCAAGCTGTTGGTCAAATTTCTCAAGCCAGTTTACAACAAACTGCATCAATGCAGCAGCAACAACAACAACAGCAGCAGCAGCAGCAGCAGCAGCAGCAACAGCTCAGTCAACAGCAAGACTTTGATCCAGTTCATCGATTTAAGATGCTTATTCCGCAGCTGAAGGAGAGTTTACAGGTAATTACTCCGCTATAATCGAGCTAAGAACTAGACAATGGATATTGTTGATACTAATCTGTCTGCTTTAATTTAAAATAGAATCTGATGAAGGTTGCGGCATTGAATTTGAGTCATAACACTTCAATCGACAACGGCGTGTAAGTTCAGTGTCAGTACTGTTTTTTACTGAGGTCCGTTTTGACCTCAGTAAGTTAGCTCTTGTCTTCTGTAACGTGTTTCTTGTTTCTGTCTGTTCAGTAAAAGCAGCGACACTTCTGTTCAGCGTTTTGATAAAAGCCTAGAGGAGTTTTACGCCCTCTGTGACCAAGTGGAACTGTGTTTGGTAAGCATGGACCAGTTTCTATTATATTTTCTGCATCACTTGGACATTTCTCCTCCCACATTTGTCAAAATACAGCCAAAACTGAATACTTATAAAGCTACTGTACAATTGACACCAATTTCTCATCATATGTTGATAAAATCGCATCCAGTCCACATATGTAAAGAAGTCAAATCATCTATAAATTTATGTATAATAATTGAAAGGACACTGGAGAAACCTGGTGAGATTTTCGTGTCAGTTGAGTCTTTAGAAATATATTTACTTTGAAAATTGGTGATGTGTTTAAAGCTTTTTTCTTGATTTATTGAATTAGAACTTAAGGGCTTTAGTAATCAGGTGATGTTTATTTTGTACCAAATATAATATTGTAATTGGTAGCTTTTAATTTTCTAAGATTTATAACATTTTAACATTAATATTGTGTGTTTTTTACGACTTACAAACTCACATTTTCCCATTCTCTCTGTAGCGCCTGGCGTATGAGTGCCTCTCTCAGAGCATCGACAGCGCCAAGCATTCCCCCAATTTGGTCCCTACGGCCACAAAGCCGGACACGGTGCAGACGGAGTCCATGTCCTACGCTCAGTACCTCAGCATGATCAAGTCTCAGATCTCCTGTGCCAAAGATATCCACAATGCTTTGCTGGAGTGCGCCAAGAAGATCGCGGGGAAAGGACAGCCTCAAGGCATCATGTAGACTCGGACTGAATATCCTTATTCTATTTTTATTTTTTTATTTGTCATGACAAGAAGAGGCAAAGCCACAATTTCTCAGTTTTTCTGTTGTGGTTTGTAAATGCTGTGTAAATATTGCTGATAGTTATGCTTTATGGTGACCAGCAGGAGGCGACAAAGTTTTCAAGAACTATTTTGTAACGTATTTGTATTGACGATTAAAACCTTTCTGCTTATGTTTTTTTTTATATTCAGTATGAACTGTAAAATATGCAGCTTTTGCATCTGTTAATGCAAAAGCTGAAAAAACCCAAGGAGCCGACAAATAAAAAAGGTCAAATGTTGAACTAATTAAATGGCTAAGCTATACATGGTTTAGTAACAAACTACACCGTGTAGGTATGCAGAAACAAATGTACAACTTCACAAAAAAGGTGGCAAATCCTTGACTTGTATGGAGCAAGTTTTTGAGTTGAACAAAAACTATCCATGTCCGAGGCACACGAGTGTCTTTGGTCTGCATGCTGCTGTGTTATGGTGCGATAATACAAGCATGTCAAAGTGGTGCATGGCCGGCCTGCAGCTGGCCAACACCTCAGCCACATCTGAGCTACTGACAAGTGCTGCCATCCAAAAATACTTCTCCGGGTCACCAGCATGCACCGAAAGTTCAAAGCATACTTGCGCACTCATAAACCTGATGTGCTGTTTTATTAAAGCTAAACTGTTGAGCAGATATCTGATATAGGGGGAATGAGGAAGAAGAAAAGATAGGATCAGGTTCATTCACACAACTTTATTTTCAGACATCCTGAACTGGCAGACTTCACTTTTAACACAAAACGTAAAAGAAAAAAAAAAAAAAAAAAACTTCATTCAGCGAGAGTAATCCCTGCGTTCGTCTACACTCCGCAATAAAGCACAAAGTTCAAAAAGTAAAAACAAACAATATAAAAAGATTAAGGGCAAGTGTGTTTGTACAAAGATTTCAGTGTTTAAAACAGACACTAAATAGGAACAGAACCGGATATATTCTATGTGCATTGCTATATTTTACAACAAAGCAAGTATGAACATTGTTACCTTTTTATAAGCTAAAAAGATCATGTCTACACGACGTGCAAAATTCTATTTTTCAGATTTCCTGACAAAAATGCTGGTGACGCAGCATAATGTGGTTTCATGGTGGGAATGATGTGTACATGTTACATGTTCAAAGCTTGAGATATTGCTTTATAACCTCATCCTGTTTTAAACTTCTCCTCAGCTTTATCCCTGACTTGCTGTTCCTTTCGTCTTCGTGATGCTGCTTGCTCACTAATGCTCTCTAACAAACCTCATTGGCCTTCATAGAACATCTCCATTCATACTAAGATTAAATCATACACAGGTGGAGTCTTTTTTTTTTTTTTACTAATGAGGTGAACCCTGAAGACGATTGGTTACGCTGGATTTCCTTCAGGGTTGTCAACGTAATCATGACACAATTATGTAATACTTTGTGTTGGCTTATATTAAATCCCAATATTTTGGATTTCATTGAAGTTAATGGGATAGAAGTTTGTGATATAAACTTCAAAATAATACTACTGGGCCATAAATGCAGTCTTTTACTTCCATCAGATCGTCTGTTGATTTATTTTGCTTTGTGGCTTGGAACTAAACAGGAACTCAAAGTACGGTACTCTGATCTGCTTAGTTAGCGCTCCTGTAGTCATATTACTGTTTCAGTTATACCTGAAAAGAAGCTCTATAGACTGACATCAAGTCTTTTAGAGGCTTGATAATTATTCATCAGTTTAAACCAGATGTGATGGAACAAGGAAGCATCTGTAACATACACTACGGTGTGTGCGTCAAAGAACAGATATGTGCGACATAACATTTTGTGTCCAGCTATAATAGATTCTTTCTCCGTTTCATGTGTTGTGTGTTTCTGGGGTTCGGGGGGGAAGGCACCACTTTAAACTGCGAGGTGTGTAAGTGGCTTTAATTACACGCAAGCACAGAGGCATCAGTATTCGTACTCGTTGGTGTTGCCTGAGCCTTGACGTCCAGCCTTTCTCTTAAGATGACCTCTGGGGAAAAAAAAAAATAGGCAAAACACTAAATAAGCACCAAAAGTAGTCACAATGTGATTAATCTCAACTCCTAAGAAGTTTGAACCGTTTGTCTGCTGTGTATCCAGCAGTCAAATGACGTGTTAATACTGACCTACGGGGATGCTCAGGACTACCAAGCTGACGCTGCATTGGGCCAGGCATGTGGACTGGTGACAGAAGCCTGGATACCTTCTGCTGCCATTCATTGTCAAAAGAGCCTGCTTCAGCTGCGGGGGGAAGGTAATGTTAGAGTTACAGTCAGACTATCTTACAGGGCAGAGCTGCAAAACTTTCACATACATTCATCCATATTCACGAAATCCTGTTTAAACTCTTTCTCTCCAGTTTGCCTGTTGTGCCTCTTCTCAACAACATGCCGTCTGTCCTTGATTTGGTGTCCAATTTTCATCTTCTCCAGACCGCTTTCGGAGTCTTTAACAGCTTGACGTGTCTCCTTTATCTGGGAGAGACAGCAGCGTTAGAGCTGTTAGATTCATAATCTTTAAACAACATGTTCATTCATGTATTAAGAGTTTAGTGAATCTATGAGATTGTTTTATGTTGATAATAAATTCGTGCAAGATTGTGCTAAGAAATCGCCTAGTCACTGAAATCGAACTATTGTTGGCTTAACTGGGCCTGAACATCACAGGCGATCCCGAGCATCCTCTTCTTTAGGATGTAATCCAAAAACAAAATGACTTCAGTCAGAGGCTTCTTCAGAGACACTGTAATACACACCACTATAGGAGATCCTCCATCACCCTCTACTAACAGCTCTTTGAAGAAACTTGGGTAGTTTATGCTACAATATTTATTTTCCTTTTGAGATTAACGAAGTACTTTTGCACTAAATTGACTTGAAATGTCAGCCATGTAAGCTTTTCACATTTCCATCACACACAGTGTGACATCTCCTCTAGTTGTAACATAAATAACTAATGACAGCTTGTGACAGGAAGGCTGTTAAAGAATACTTTAACACTTTTAAACAGGAGCTGGAATTGGTTAAAATCAATTATTTAACAACAACAACAAAAAAACTGAGATCTGAAATTATAGCTAAAAAGAAGGTCATTGCGCCAATAATAACATCACAAATGTTTCTATTTAGAGAGTTTAACTTCAACTTTAGTTCATATTTTCTGCAGACAGATTTATTTTTAGCATCTCTAGACGTAAAGCAGGATTCTTCACCACTCCTGTACTAGAACACTTACTCCTCCCGGGGCGCAGCGAGTCGACGTAGTCGCCTGGAAGACCTTTGGAGGCTCATCTCCAACTTTTGAAAATGACATTACCGATGATGACCTGAATGAGTGGGCGTTTGCAGCTGGTGGCACGTCCTCCAAAAAAAAAAAAAAGAAAAACAACCCACAAGCACAGAGCGTAACATAAGACAGCTTTCACTTAAAAATAGATTTTATTGCTACTTATTTAGCACCATCTATAGGAATAAAAGAAAGCGTGTTTATTAGTGAACTCACAAAGCCTCTTCTCATTTCTTCCATGCTTGTTCTCATGTTGGACATCATGTTGTCAAACATGCTGGCATGGTTCTGCATCATGTCCTGCTCAGACATAAAAGGAAATCACGATGAAAAGTCACCTTAAAAGCTGTACACTATTCTTGATGGTCACTTCACATTAACAAGTCATAAACAGCTGCATCATGTAGGTAAACAAAAAACAACTTGCATTTACATGCATAAATAATTTTTGCAAACTATAACCACAATAATAGTGAGCAAATAATCCAAAACAAGGAAACAAAAGAAGTCACTGAACTCTCACAAACTCTGATCATTGTTCCTGCCAAACACTGAAAGAAAGTCAGTTCTTTGATAACCTGACCAGGCTTTTAATAATCATTAAAGTTTGTTAATTATCGCTAAAGCCAGGCACCAACCTTATGTTCTAAATAAAAGTGAACCAATCCCCATGACACTAATTGAATACATCCAAATGAGACAGGAATATCTCAAAAGACAATAAAATAAGTATCTGTTTAAGATATTTGGCACATTTAGGTTTATCGCAAAGTAAGGAAGCACTTCAGTGATTACTCCTCACTTTGATTACTGTTTTTTATTTATTGCTTGTTGTCCTATATTCATAGAATGACAGTACTGGTACACTAATAATGCATCCTAAATAATGAAAATTACTTGCAACTAGTATTCAAGCAAAACCCACTTGTTTGCTGGATAATGCTAAAATGCAACGAATGCAGTCAGCTGCGGTTAGAGCATGCAGTCGGTCAGGTGAGTTTCTCTTTGCACGCACAGACCCGACTCACCGTGCTGCCGGTGCTGCCAAAAGGCAACAATGACTGGCTCATGTCCTGAAGATTCAAACGATATCAGTTTAGCATCTGAATAGCTGCATGTTACAAAGACATGCTAAGACACGGGAATCTTCTATTTAAATCAAGTCTTGAAAAAGCACACATATTCATATTATTTGTACTTAACTGATTAACACAAAACAGCACCTAATTGTGAAGTGGAAGGAAATATAACAGTTTTCAAATAAAAGCGTCTGTTGAAAAAAGTGGTGTCTGTTTGTATCATAGAACCAATTTTTACTAAAACTACAGCTCTGTTTCTCGGGTTTGTTTCATATCAGGGCTACGTGTGTAGACCAAAACCTTTGCCTTTTCTCCTTTATAAAATGACACAAGTTTAGTCAGACTGAATAAAAAAAACATCTGTAGATTATTTTCTATTTTAAAAAAAAAAATTTAATTAAAATTTATTGTATTTACTGTGACGATAAAAGTGACCTGTAAAAATGATCTAAAAACACCATCATCAATAAGAAAGCTAAGCTGCCCAAATTTTAAAACATATGAATGTAAATATCAATATATTGATCTAATGTTGTTACGGAGCCAACATTGGAGGAAAAATACATTGCAATCAATAAAAGCAGAAATCCCATCCACACCAAGTTTTTGAGGTTAATAGACTTCCTTAACTAGAGTCTATTGTGGTTACAATAAATTCTTTACATGGTCATTCCCCCCCTCCTCCCCCCATCAAAACAATAAATAGTTGTCAGCAAAAAAAAAAAAAAAAAAACATGTTTCTTGAAGTTGATCCCAGTAAGTTACTGGGTTTTCTTCCACTACTTGAAACAAACCCACACAGCAAAGATTTTTTATTTTTATGTTTTTAAAAGGCGGCAAACTTTTTTTTAGCTGGAAACTCTTCGACGATGATAAAAATGGAGCAGCCTCCCACGTCCTGAGTTTGAGCTCTGCCAACCAAGACCACAGGTGTTTTGTGACCGCACGGTCTTGACCAAACATCTCAACAGCCATCGCTATGTGTGTGTGGGGATTTTCTGGGGTTGCGATGTGCAGGGTTATCGTGTGTAATCAGTGGGGTGTTGAATGACTTGTGTTCCATGTGTAATTAGGTTGCATCGCCAGAGATTAGAGTGGGTTTAACACTGAAAGTGAGCCTCATTCTAGGAAGGCTGTAGTGGGCCGGGCTGGTCCAGTCAGGACATGACTCCCCCCGAGGTTAAGGGGGGGTTGCAGAGTTCACGGCTGCACTCTCAGCTCTTTTCAAAAGGTCAAGCTGATGTAAAAACGCTCCCGAACTGCCAATTTTATCCCACCGTGGCATCTATGAACTAATAAATGTCAGTTGGATCGCAGTATGCAGTATATTTAGACAAGATATGAGAGAGAGAGAGAGAGAGAGTGCAAACAAAGTTAAACAGATACACTCGTCCACACACTGGCAAAAATCTTAAGGGATTCTGAAATTTCAAAAAAAAAAAAATTATGTTTCTTTCACTATGATTTTAAATGGAAGCAACTGATCCAACACATTCAAATAAGAGATGGGAAAAGTAAGATGCACATAGTTTTCATAAATTCACTTTCATCACCTCCTCTACCCTGCAGTAGTAAGAACAAAAACTATTTGATTTAAGCATGTATATTGATCTAAAAAGTATTTATTTGACAACTTAAATATTTTTTTTTTCGCCTTTTATTCATTACACTTAAATGTTTCAGATCATTAAACAAAATTTTAATTTCAGAGAAGATAAGCTGGGTAAATTAAGAGAAAAAAAGTTTTACATTTTTTTATTTCTTAGGGGACAAAAAGCAGTCCAGATAAACCAATCTATAGGTTTTCTGAAAATCTGTACCAGTTTTATGATGAATGTAATAAGAAAATTTTCACTTTTATCTTACTATTTTAAGGAAAACTTTTCTAAATGTCTTGGGTATCATCAAGATGTTTCCTTACGAAGCGTTTGATGGGCCTTTGAATACTTGTTGCAGTGGTTTCTCACCATGGATGCCATTTTTACCCAGTCTCTTTTCCCATTTTGAATAATGAACCTGGATCCTAATCGAGGTCAGCAGTGTTCCTTAATTCTTTTTCGTCCTCCTCATTTATTGAGTCGTTAATGTGCTTCTGGAGCAATTTTGGTGGATTGTTCATTCGCAACAATTTTACTGAGCTTATCTTTTCTGACATCAAAAAGATTTAAGTGTAACAAAGAAATGACAAGAACCGCAGACATTTTTTAAATCCGCAAATGTGACATCAAGCAAACACAACACTGTTTATCGTTATTATCAAGCCTTGGTAGACTACTTAAAATGAAAAGGCAAATACAGCTTATTTCAATAATCTAATACGGCATTAGTGTTGTTATTTACGATCACATTTGTAAACAGGTGCCTGGATGAATGGAGGCTGTGAATGGTAACCCAAACCAGACAGCGTAGGTGTTGGCAAAAGAGAGAAACGTGAGAACTCGGTGGTCGAGGAAGGTGGACGTTTCTTCCCACTGGGATTCTCATCACAGAAGCAAGTAGCGCAACCATCCCAACTTGTGTGAATATTGCAAGCTGGAACTGTGGGTTACTGTGCTTTGCAAGCATATTCTGGAGCCATATGTGTGTGTGTTCTTCGAATGTGTCTCCGTGTGCACATTTGTGCCCGTGATACTGGAGAACAGCTTGGGAGCGAGGTTGTCTGTCATCTAGCTGCTAATGCAGCAGTGATGCCAAGTTCTGCAAAACAGACGGACGAAAAGAGCAACAATGAGGGAATAGAGTGCCCATGACATCTGAACACAGAACACATGCCGCGTCAAAGCCAGCAATCTGAGCGCCGCGGCTTCAGGATTTCCACCGCTGCCGGTCTCAACTTCCTCTGACCGCGTGGGACATCAGAAAGCAGGATTTATTTTTTATTTTTTTTTAATATCAATAAACAGTGCATATCCTGGTTAATACAAGTTGGCTGCATGCATCTTCTCATATTTTATTATTCTATTGATCACTTCTAAGTACTGAGAGAGCACGCTGCTTGGGACTGAGGTCACACTTCTGATGTAAGCCATTATCAAGGATAAATATACCAGCTCTCATGGGAGACTTGGATTAAAGCAGGTGACTCCGGCTAAGTTTGACTCAGCGGATCAAATATACACCACTTCTCTGCATACAGTACATGTTCTTATTATTATTACAAGCCACAGAAATTAACACCGCAATGGTAAGGAGCAAGTTGGGCGAAACGACACAAATGAACCCAACCGTCTATGGGAAATTACAGAGGTAAATATTTTTTGGTGGGATTTTATGTGAAAGAACAACACAAAGTAGTGCTTAACTGTGAAGTGGAAGGAAAAAGATACAAAGTTCAAAATTATCTATCTATCTATCTATCTATCTATCTATATATATATATATATATATATATATATATATATATATATTTACCAATAAAATCAAACAAGTATAGCATGTAATCTGCTCCTTTTACAATTTTACACCCAAATAAAATATGCATGTAATTAAGAGGTTTGGACATTAGAGAACGACAAGCGTCCCGAACAGGAAGGAGCCCACCACGCAATTCAGCTGACTTTACAGCAGAGTCGGTTTATACGCAGGTTTTGCACTCCACAAGATATGGTTCATGAAGTGTAACAAGAAGAAAGTAATTGATGAAATGCCCACGTTAAAGTTCAGTATCGGTTACAGTGGAAGTGGCCAGTTTTCGGAGCCTAACCTTAGTAAACACAGTGCTTCTTCAGGAGAAAGCACTGGACAGCTTACAGGACGACTGAAACACATAAATGGAGGTGTGTAACACAGGAGAGCAGCACACTGTCTAAATTTGAAGAGAGGTGTTCGTTTTGTTTTAAAATCTACGTTCTCACCCGACGCTCGTTTCTTCGATCAAACAAAGGCCTCGGAAGTTCGGCCACATCCCGTCCACGGTTTCTCCCATCTGTGATGCGTGTGCTAAAGTGGGAACCAAATGGTTCGGAGAAACTGCGCATCATCCGCCTCATGTGCTCTCTATGAGCACGGAATGGATCCCTTAAGAAAGACAGAGTGAAAGAAAACACAAAAAAGGGCAGCTTAGCAATCACATAGACTTGTGAAGGATACATGATTTCCAAAGGTTTTTGCATAAAAGGTGCGACGTGTACATGTAAGCAAGCCCCTCTGACTAAATCATTTTTCAAAATCCCTTTTTGAGAGAGTTCAAGCTATGAGTATATCAGCTTTGCAGATCCAGAGCCTTACCAAGTTCTTCTTCACAAAAGTAAGAGATACTCAATTAGAAGCTACATCAACTTTTGATAGAAGATCATTCATAATTTTTTTCTAAACACCTCATGGAAGTTTGCTTTAACCGTTGACACACTTCTGTGTTATTTGTATTTTTATCTTTCAGAACAAACTTCCATAATAAAAGAATGAATTCATTTTTTTGCAGTTATATATTAATTAAAACTCAGAGAAAATAAAAAGTTGTGGACTCTAGCCAAGAAACAGGCATTTTTACTCCCCACACAATGTCAACTTTACACATACAATGCATGAAAATATATTGAGGAAAAAATAATGCAATTATAACTATAACTGTATAACCTAGCCCTGCTTTAAACTTCTCTAAAACTTTATCCCTGACCTTGCAGGTGTCTTCCTTGAGCTTCATGATGCTGATTGTTTATTAATGATTTCTAAAAACCCCAGAGGCCTCCAGAGAACAGCTGGAAGGCAATCATATTTTAGGGATAACAGGTTGAATACATGTGCACGCCACACCTTTTTGATTTCAATAAAGAAAAAAGAAAAGAAAGAAATTCACTAATGTGCTTTTTTGGAGATCTACTGAAAAAGAAAAGAAAATACATTTAAATTTGTGGTTGTAACTTGAAGAAGTTTTAGGGTTGTGAATACTTTTGTAAGGAACTGCAATTTCACAAAACGACTCCTTTTTCCTCTCTCAACTCGGAGCTTACCGTAAATGAATTCTTTAATGAAAGCACCACCATGAAATAAGAAGCACCCCCTAAAATAAATTTAGCCAACCTTAACACTTGACTTAGAAGTCGGGTCAAGTGTGGTCACACTAACGCTCTGCAGGCCTCCACTCATGGAACATGTCAAAGTCGGTGCAGCCCGATGACAGCGTGAATACTCACTGAGACATGAACAGAAAGTGTCTCTAAAAATGTTCAGAAACGTATTTTATTTAACTCTTCACTTAAATCTCTTAAAAACTTCACATAACTGAGTTTTTATTTGGTTTAAAAACGTTTTATCCTCAGCAGCTGTTGCTAGGTAACTTAAAATTAAACAACTTTTCCATACAAGCTCATGTCACTTTTTTTTAGGATTAAATTGTTTACCCACTATTATATATATAAAAAATTAGGCTGTTTAGATTTATAATAATGTCGGAAAATTCGAAACGTGTCCTCTTCAATTCAAGGTAGAAAATTCTAACGTGTAAATTACTGCACAGTTTTAGGAACTTACGAAAAGAATGGGTCCTCATCGAACTCCTCCAGCATGCTGTTGTACATTTCCGCTGATTCCTACAGACGTAGATATTTCTTTGTTGTAGTTTCTGATAAGACTTCACGACCAACACTCACGTCCCTGCTTCGAAACTCAATAACAGCAGCTGATCCCGAGTGATTAGAACCAAAGTCACTCTGACACCGGCCACGTGATACAAGTCCGACGCTCCTATTGGCTGTTGTTTGGGCTCCATCCACGCGGTGTCTGTTGGAGTTGGCTGCTATGGCAACAGCACTCTAGAAATTTCTTATAAAACTCATGCGGCTTATCGCTCTACTGCACAGTACTACAAATGTACTTGTCCTTATCAGAATTTTGCACGCAGTTAATGTCACCCAAAGTTCAGACAATTTGTTTTAGGTAGATTTATTGTTATTTTTAAACTAAATTTTTCAAAAAGATTTTTATTTTATTTTATTTTATTTACAAGAAAGCACACCTAGTTCACACAAACGTGTAGAACATTTATTTTTTGCAAATGCAAGTATGTCATACAACCAAATTTAACGTGGGCTTAGGTATTGAGTTATATTATATTCTTAATCATTATTTCATTTTGACACCAAGTGTCTGGAGACTATAATAACAACAGAATGTCCCAGACGCTGTGTATAGGTTTACCATCTGGAGGTTCCACAAATAGCTTCGTGGGTTGACTCACTTCCATGAATCTATCTCAACTAGCAACACAACACTGAGAAAACACAAACTTAAATCCCTCAGTAGTAAGCATGTGTAGAAGGAATAAAATTCAAGGCAGAGTGCAGTGTTACAGTTTTGGTCAGAATATCCAGTCAGTCGTGCTAAACTTTTAACGATGCATGTACATTTCTTCTTCCAGGTTTAAGGAAGACTGTACAACATATAACTTTAGTAATTTAAAAAAAAGAGGAAGGGAAACTGGTTCAGATTTTCATCAACAACCAAGTTTAGTTGATCATAAACTAGAAGCTGGTTGATTACCTGTATCACTGGTGGATCCCAACCAAGAAAGAAGTATTTGTTCCAGACACCTTTAAGATTGACTAGAGTTTGTATGTATATATTTTTTATAGTCTGAGGAGGAACAGATTGAACTCCTACATTGCAATTACAAGGATGTCAGAACACTGAGTGGCGCTGGCACCATGTTGAGGGTTTGTTTCATTGTCAGTGGCACTGGTGGGGGGGAAATACTGTAGACCTTTAAATTCTTAAATGTAATCTTAAATCAGAAGCCACAGTTGAAATTGAGAAAGGATTGAAATTTCCAACAGGATGAGGTGCCCAAACACTCAGAAAAGCTGGGTTTGGAACAGATACACAGGCAAACATTAAGCTTCCCCGAAATTAATTTCATGGTTAAATTTTCCAGGGTAATTGTAATGCTGTATTTATTTGTACATATCGCAACAAATTCTGCTAAAAATGAAATTCTGATCCAAATTACTCTAGAATTAGAGAAAATCCATAACAAATTCAAATGTTCATTTTCTAAAAAAAGTTGCATTATCACTCCACCCTGAACAACAATCCAAACAAATCATTAAAGGCATGTATAATTATGTTATCGCAGATGATTAGGAACTTCTGTCTGGAGCAGTAAATATACTTATTTAACTTTAGAAACTCAACAAGAGCCACAGTTTTTTTTTTGTTAAGGAAAGAGTCGTTAGTAAATTTTATTACAATGTACCCAGTCACAATTAACTTTTTATTGAAAGATAAAACATAATGTGTCAAAGTTCACATCTATGTTAAAAAAAACAAACATCTAACAATAACAGAAATAACCAAATCAAAATAATCAACATCAGAAAGAAGCAAAACAAAAGTGAGGACAGGCATTGTTGTGATGTTCCAAAAGACGACACGGTGAGACTGAAAGTGAAGATCTGAACTAAAAACCACGCTGGGAACAAAAAGCTCTTGTTGGACGCTGTTAGTCTTCAGGCTACAGGACTTCCCATCAGTCGTTCTTGTCGCAGTGAATTCAATCTGCTCAGCCAGAGATCTTCAGCCGTCTCTTTGTCCATGAACAACTGCAGGCCAGCAGAGAGGAAAGGACACGGTAGGAAGATTAAAGAAAGAAACGGGACCAACACCCTGAGTGCACTCAGCTACAGGGACAGCCTGGGCAGTTGTACTTTTGCACAAGAGCCACATTTGCCCATCTCTGTTCACAAACGAGCACACACTCATACACTGACACAGATGAGCAGGGTGAAGTTTAGGGGCCCATCAACATAATCTGGAATAAAACTCGGAACTTGAACTGCAATATGAATATTTAATTATTCTGCTTTTTGCTTTGCTAATAAGTACATGTTTTTTTGTTTTATTTGATCAATTATATATCAGTGAGGGGATTAGTTGTTAAAGTATTATCGTTCACCATCACAATGTACCGACTGATACCAGAGTAATTCATAAAAAAGAAATATAGCTATATTAACTATCAGTTTATGTAATATAAGAGCTTACATGGAATTAGTTTTGCTCACTTTTTTCTCTCAAACTTCCCACAAATTAACCAGCAAATAACACCTTGCGTCATAATGTTCCACACAATAAACACTTGAAAATTACTACTAAAATTATATTTTATCCAATATATAACAATCAGAGCAATACGTTGTTAAATATAGTATATAAATGTAATAATGTGATCTATTATTTTAGCAGCAGTATAGAAAATTATGGCTTTTTAAATTATAAAATCAATTAAGTCATGGATCTTTAGGCTAATATCATAATTTTGTGATATTTGTAACTTAATGTAATCTAACCTTGAGAATCCCTGCATTTGCTAATTAGCTTTCTGGACTAATTTCCACTCTCTATCACTCAAATTCCCAAATTTTTAGCTATGTCCTATAAGACAGACAAGAAGTCTCAAGATCTAAATGAAGATCTGCAATTATGCACCAATATGAAGGCTTAATATGGATTAAAAATTATATGGTCTGTGAAGAAAGTGAACTGATAATCCTAAATACATTTCTAACTGATATACTTATTTAACACACAATGTGTAAACAAATGAAATGTTTTACACATTAAGTCAATATTCACATCTTTTCCAGCACCACACCTTGTAGATAAAAACAACATAAATTACCTAAGAGACAGTTTTAATCCACTATAATATGATGTCATTTATTGCTGCTGTTAATAGTGTCTTGTGATGTAACACAATTGTATGTCTCACATAAAATAATTTGGTAATTCTAATTTCCAAATTTAGGCTTTTAATAAATTGTTAGCTTGCACTTTAATATAAAACACAAATATGCAGGTTTGAACATCAAGCGCTTTCAAAAACTTTGAAGACACCTAATTGAAATTCAAACATTTTCAGGGAAGTCAAGCACCCGTACGAACCTCGAGCGCCCTGAATACTGCGCCCTGCTTTTTGAGTGACGCCTACTCAGATCCAGCTGCGTGGAGTAAATTTCAGCACGTACCACCTCATCCATTCCTATAAGGCCCCGCTGCTAGAAAACGCCTGCTTACCACTTATATTCAGTACATTACTGGCAGCGATGGCACCGACTGTGAGGAGGCTTTAACGCTGCAGCTGCGAGCGTCTGACGGATGAAGGCCTCTGTTTATTAGGAAGTAACACAATGACTGGGGATGCAAAGCACCGAGGCGCAGAGCGGGAAGATATCAGATTATTTCTATATCCACTGCGTGTGTTTATGCGAGGCTGAGAGATGACGTTGACATGCCGGCGATATGTACATTCTGTACATCTAGGTGTTGATACGTGTATTACTATGCAGATGGTCGAGCAGCAACCCCCGCCGAGCGCGTCAATCCTTCATCTCCAACCTACGCCGCGTACAGCTGCACCGCGTGTTATCTCGTGTTAGACTCGGCACCAGTTCTTGTCTGTCGGCCCTGGGCTGGTGTCACGGTGCTAATGAGGCTGTGTGTGTGGGATGACAGTATCTGAACCGGGCTAATGGGACTCATCTGTTCTAATTGGAAGTGGAGCAGGAGCTGGAGCCGAGGCCGGGGCCTGCCTGGGGCATATTGCTACCATATATCAGCCTGTCTGACAGTGTATGTATGTGTGTGTGTGTGTGTGTGTGTGTGTGTTGGGCTGGGGGGCATGGTGCATCTCTGCGAGTGGGTTATCTGCATACATCAGGGCATAATTTCGTTTCCCCCAGTGGAGATAGATGACTGGGAAGCCCCAGGGAGCGTTATTGGAGTTTAAAGTTTTTTCCCCTCTCGTTTTTCATTTGCAATCAGAGAAGGAGGCCCGTAAAACCGGCAAGCTGCAGAGTCTCGCACGACGTGATGCAGTGGATAGGAACGTGCTGGAATCATGGGCGCCGTAAATAGTGGAGGTGTTAGTAGAAGCAGTGACACCTTTTAAAGGGAGGTGGCGGGGAGGGCTGGGATGTCACAAAGTTTGTCCAAATCACCATAAACTCAAAGTGTCACACTCATAAAAAAAAACAAGGCGGAAATAAAACCGTAAGGTGGAGGCGGAACTTCTTATCGAGGTTGTGGCGTTTTAGTGTTCTTTAAAAAGTCTATTCAATGAAACTGAGCGACAATTTGAGACGACGTTGGAGGAAACGGTTGGAGAAGATTTGGCTGGAGGAAACTTACACTGGGATGAGCGAGGGTGTCGCTGTCATCATAGACTATAGACATCGGGAGGGAGTAGTCCTGAGAGGGAGCGCTCTCCGATTCCTGCTTCTTCTGAGCTGCAACAACCTGTGTTCACAGAAACACATGAAACATAAAGGAATAAACGAATCTCAGACTGCAAAGAGCATGCAAATATGACACAATATTAACAGAATTACAGCAAAAAAAAAAAAAAAACGGTTAATTTTAAAATATCTCTAAAGTATGACTCGATTAATACATTCAATAAGATTATCATACAGACAGTTGTAAACTGTACATTTAAATATTTTTGTATGAGGTATTGAATTGCGGGGCGCAGCACTGAGACTTGGATCTTGCAATATGATCTTCGTCCAGCAGATGGCACACACATATTGACTGTTCAATTGTGAAAAACGGTAATAAAAGCCAAGCATTCTTGAAAGCTATTGTTAAATTTCCCTGGACTCATTTATCTTTCAATATAAAAACAGCTGTAAGTTATGTATTCTTTTTTTCTAAGTTATTTTTTTCTCTTTTATTTAGTTATTTTTAAAGTCCTTTTGTTTTTTGTGCTCAAACCTAGTTAGAAAAAAGAAAAAATCCCACTGAACATTAAATTTACAGTAATTCTTAAGGCACCTGTGGGTGTATTTTGACTCAATTCCTCAAGCACATCAATTTAATTTGTAATATCATGGAAAGAAAAACAACAAAAAGAAAAATCAGAATGAGAATTGTGGATGTCCAAAACCCTGGTTCATTCTCAGGAATAATAAAGAGATAATTGATCAGTTCAGTTTATCAATAATTCACCATTTCACAACAGATGTCATCTTGAGGCACAAAATAATAAAAAAAAAACTCATGTCGAATCACTCGCACATACAAGTTAATTGATCAAGTAACACAGTTTAAAAGACAAGTGTATCAAATGCTGAGGAAAATGTATAAAAACTTCTGAGTTTAAATACAGTTAAAACATAATCTAAAAATTATCTCTATGGTCTGGCATCTAAAAAAACAATATCGTTTTTGTAAGTCTATCTTTTTATACACTTTCTAAATATAGTTATATACCACCAATAAACATAATGCGCACACATGTATGTTTTGGCATTTTTTTTAAAAAATGGGAAAGACAAGAGAACATATCAATTAATAAAGCCATATCTTCTTAAAGCTTCACTTGTCAGAAAATGTAGACATTTTAAAATAATTTAAAAAGTTTAAAAGAACCGAGTTTATTTACACCACTGCGATGATTAATTTGATAGAAATGTTTTAAAGATCTTAGCGGAGGGCGCTCTGCATCCCTCACGTTGCCATTTATAGAGCTGATAAGGCAGAAAGATGGCTTTTAGAAATGTTCACATCCTGCAGTGTGGAAACGTTACCATATGTTACTATAAGCATCGTATTTGAATGGCTGGCATGTCTTCACTGTTACATTTATTAAAAGACGAAATAACTACATTAACATTTCACCAAACCCATTACTGTTTTAAACACCCCCTAGTAGCAGCCCTGGAGCAGATGTTTACCCAGTTGGACGAATCTTTTTTAAAATTCATTTGGCAGGAAACAAAAAGTGAGCAGGATATGAAACACACTGACTAATAAGCATGGTGATGTGCCAAGTGTGAGGCAGAAAACAAAAAAAAAAAAAAAAAAAAAAACTACTCATCACATTCCTGGGGAACAATCTGCTGAATATACATTTTTAATAAATGCAGCTTGCTTGTTTTTCTTCTTTTTATTTATTTATTTAAAATGAGGGCTGTAGCTGACATAAAGAGCTTCACTAATCTTTCATCAACTTATGATTGAAAAGGATTTACAGTGACTTCTAACGGCACTAATTAAAAAACAGTAAACAATGTGGATTACAGAGATTAAATAATTATTTCAACGGAATATTCTTTAAATCAATTTTAATTGCTGGTAAACGCTAGGTTATCGTTTTTAAATAACTCAGAGATGTATTGTGGTGTAGATGAAAAATGTTGAATTTGTAGTAATTATGGTGTTTTTTTTTTAATGGAGGGAAATACGTAAAACATCGTTTAAGTTAAGAAAGATTTTCAACTATAGACGAATGACCCGAATCTTAATTTAATCTGCAATTTTAAATATCTGATCTAAAATTAAGTGAGTGGATGTTATAAAATTTCTTTGACTTGATTAGCTGTTTTGTTATAATTCATAAACATAAAAAAAAATAATAACCTGGAAAAATACACAACTAAAGCAAAACGACAAAAGAAGTTTTGACACAATCTGTGAAAAATCCCCATTATAAATGTTTTTTTTTTTGTCAGATTTCATAATTTTTCCAGACTAGGACCTCTTCATTTAGAAATGTAAAACTTTGTTGGAAAAAGTTTTTATTGGATGAAAATTAGTTGACAAATTGATTAATCAGATTAATCAAGTAGACAGATTCATCTATAAAGTACTCCCGCGAACTTGGTGATTTGTGTCCTCATGTGCAAAATCTATATTATCTAAAAAAAAATGTAATTGCAATGTATAAAAACAATCTGCAGGCTGTTCAGCGTTCTTTGTAGTGACGCAATACCTTTGTTTGTTTAGCTTAGCAGTCACAGCTGTTTACTGAGCCGATAACTGGGGTCACAAGTCTGTGTCACAATTGTTGTGTTGGTCAAGAACTGAAAATGTCTTAAAAACTAGCCTATGTTCCAAAAGAGTAGCTGTTGTCAAAACTTTATTTTGCATTTATCTCAAGAGTATTGATCAATAATTCAAACTTTAAATGGTCAGTGAGTTGTAAAAGAACTCACGGTACTTGCAAAATGATTTTTGATCAAAGTTAATGTAGAAAGCAACAGCGCAAAACATTTTAAAATCAAACCAACATCAAACTCAAAATTTAAGACTCCGTTTTTTTTCTGCCATAGAGGTGCATTGCACTAAATCAGTCCTCAAAAATGAATTTGTTCCAATCACTCAAGTCAAAAAGCGATGCTGTGCTTATTTCTGATTTAAATACATAAATCTTATTTTATTGCCATGTTGTAGCCTACACAATCAAGGCGAAGATTGAAGACTTCATGGTTATCCAGGAGGTAGACCGGGACTCCTCTGGTAAAGTGAAAAAGAGCCATTGCTAAAGAAGCTGGCTGTTTAAGCACATTAATGTAAGGTTCAGTGGAAGGAAAAAGGATGTTCGAAAAAAAGCACACAGGTAGTGAAAATAATAGTAACTTTTAGAAGACTGTGATCATTAATACTGTCAAGATTTTTTGGGGGGGTGATTTACAAAATGTGGATTCTTGCTGCAGTCGGTTAACACACAGAAATAACCAAGGAATGTGGACAACTGTGGCATGATCCTCGTGTGAAGTCACTCCTGAAGTATCTTATCTCTTCTAGGGAGAACAAAGATTGAACCACTGCAGATTAAAGTCAATTTTTTTCCATTTCACTTAGAAATCAACGTACCAGAGTCAGGAGGACGAGCGGAGTTGATGACACCGGACGCAACTGCAAACCGCCAGTAAAGCAACCTCAATATTTTAATAGAGCCACATTAATGCAGCAAGTCATGCAAAAGAAACCATGGCCAAGACTGTAGTGCATATACTGCTACAGTACGTGAGCATACTTTACAGTAGGACAACAGTCCTGTATTAAAATTAATAGGTCTTATGTAATATTCTAATGTTGGAAACTGGATTTTGGCTTCGGCTGTGAGTATTTGAAAGAAATAAATATTATAAATATTGTAGAATATTTTGAAAGGAATCCCTAGAAGGAAAAAAAATACTTTGTAATGACAAGATAACTTATAGAGACCTAATATGAAATTATTTTTCCATTTCATCCGGTAGATCTTGTAAGAATATTTGTTTTTGGACATGCTGTGTTGCGTGCAATTTCTGCAGCGGTCTAAATCTCTTGGCTCCCTTTGGCCACACGGGTCTTGACTTTTGTGGGTTTGCTGTCGCATGTTGTCACCTGTATTTTAAAAACAGCCATGAAGTCCAGACAAATCTAATTCCAGCTCTTTCAGAAGGCAGAAACATTTCAATAATGACCTCTGCATTTGGTCTGCCTCTGCGCAACCAGAAAGGCGAGGGGGGGGGAAGAAGGTGCAGGGAGACGCAGACGCGGGACGGCTGCCGCCTGCTGTGGCTTTTGTGTGGGGTGCTGCCGTCGTGGAGGAAAAAAAAGAAAAAAAAAAGAAAAAATGTCGATGAAACCTTCTCGGGTCGGGAGCAAACGGCATTGAATGGGAACGTTTGATTTGGTCTGGGCCGTCTCTAGACAGACGGCGCGGAGCGACGCGGAGGGGCGAAATTCAATAAGAAATGGAGCGAAAAAAGCTCAGAGAGTGAAGGGCCAGGGGAGAAAGAGGGACAGAACGCACCTTTGTGTCATCCCGGGAAGATTTGAAAGCCTGAGGAACAAAGGAATCGCTCTCGATGGCCTCGATGTCCTTTATCCTTCGCACTTGCTCCTCCAGAGAGGTTCCCTCTGAAAAACACGTTAAACAAGGGAAGCCATGAACAGAAACACACATACAGAGAAAGACACACGTGTTCTCCATCACACAGAGTGTGGACCACCTTCTGTCATGATCTGAAAACATTTGGATTTCCTCTAGACTGGCCTCTTCTTCCAGTATAATACTATTTGACACGTACAGTAAAAGAAATCTGATAATCCCCCCGATTTTAATCTTGTGCCTCCAAGAAAAAAGGTATTTATGCCTTTCCAAGGGCACGGACTCCCACAAAAGGTAAAGAGGGGAAAAATACTAACAAGGTAATAGCCAGACAGTGAATTACACTCAGATAATGGCATTCTAAAATAATCAAAATATGAACACAAGCTCACTGCAGTGGAATTTCATTACAGGGAATAAATGTGATTAAGTTTTATTCAGTTCAGACCTCATGTATCAGAGAGTATACTTCTCCGGCTTGTCCAATTTCACAAAAACAGACACAAAGGGTTTCCAATAAATTACTCCTGGATATAAACACATCAGGATTTCTGCATATCAGATGACAAATCACTTCAGGAATCTAAAAGCAGTCTTTGTGAGCGTGGGAGGGCAAAAATAGGTGTGCCGAGGAAAGTTAGCGACAGGGGGGCTGGGGGGGAAAGTCTGAATGCACTCATTATTTTCTGGCTGTCAATCTTTCCACTGATCAGTCAATATTCATCCCTCTCTTTCCCATCTATCCGTCCTCTCCTGCACTCTCCCATCTCGCTGTCTGTCAATCCAGCAGGCGTCCGTGTTTCTGAGCGGCACGGATGTAGGCTGCGTCAGTGACACAAATGGGAACATGCGTAAGAGAGTACGATATCAGAAAACTTAGATTTTGCTATGAAGGGTGAACCAGATTTTCACTGAGTGATTAATATACAGTGGGGCCGAGATGTAACTCTTTTTGGTCTGAATTAAGTCCTTATTTAAGTTCTAAATGTCTACATTGTAGGGATAAATACCTAAATACCTAAAGTACCTCGTATTTATACTCGTTGAACCCTTTTTACCATTAATACTTTGTACTTTGTACTGTAATTATAGCAAATGTATGTCTGGTGTATGACACTAGCAACTTTAGACATCAAAAACTAAATATGTTATTTAATGTATGTAATGAGCCAGTTCGATGCTATGAAGCTTACCGGAAACTGCTTGCACTGTAAACAACCATATGGAGAGCCAGAGATAAAATGTCTTAAACATACATGTTGCTCAGACTGTAATTTATTTTGGAAGTGTTTTCATTTCCAAGCATAATAAAGACTGAATGTCTTTGTTCACTTCTTCCACTGGCATTGCCACACCACAATCCTAACAGAGGAAGATTACAATTCAAAACCAAAGCAGAAAATCAATGTCCTTGTTCATAATTCCTTCTGCTGATTGGCCCGATTGGAAACCAGAGGAATCCAGCTCAACAGGAAAAAGTGAGATGAGGATTGAGCAGAATTTTGTAGGAAGGTAATGGCCAGGCGAGGTTTTACCCATTCTTCCTTGCAAAACAGCTCAAGCTCAGCTAGACCGAATAATTAGCAACTTTCAAGTATTGCAATTCTCATTTAGATTTAGATCTAGATTATTCTAACATGAAATCACTTCAATCTAAAACATCCCATTGTAGCTCTGGCTGAATACTTAGGATCATTGACCTGATGGATAGCAAAACTCTGTCGTAAGCTAACATGTTCTCTTCCATATTGTCTTGTATTTAGTTATATCCATCTTTGCATTTTCTCTAACCAACGTTACTGTTCCTGCTGAAGAAAATAACCCCCACAGCATGCTACTCTCTGGTGGGCTCTGGGCTACTTCTCTGATTATTGTGTTCCATTGTCGGCTTGGTTCCAACATAACTGGATTTATGGATGTCATCAGCATAGAGATGATGTCCATGTATTGATAATTTGAACAGGTCCTTGTTGTACCCCACAGGGCAAGTCAGCTTGTCATATTGCATGTTAATTCTGGTGTTAAATGTCTCCCCAGCTTTATCCTTGACCTATCTGTGTGTTCATTGGTCTTCAGTAATGTTTTCTGACAAACCTCAGACCTCCAGAGAAACGGCTATGCTTAAACTGCACACAGGTAGTAGACTCAATTTAACCAACCAGCTGCCTTTTGGTAGTTAAACTGGATTCTTCTTAGAAGTGTCAGACTAAAGGGGACTAAAGACAAATATATGCAACACTATTCATATTTATACTTGAAAAACAACTTAAAGACCAAGTATCCAACCATGTATGTTTTCATTTTGCTTCACATGCTTGATGTTGGTCTATCACATGAAATCCCAACAAAATAATGTCCAGGTTTGCAGTTGTCATGTGACAAAATGTGGAAAAACCTCTAAGGGGTGTGAATACTTTTACCAGCATACTCAAATACAGTGTGCATTTGGAGCTGATAAAAAGGATTTAATTCAATCCATTAGCAGCTATAGAAAGGGTGTCACAACACATCTTTACAGCCCCGGCGTTTAATGAATAAATGAATATTTGGTCCAGCCTTCACAGCAAAATGTCACCCTCTATCACGCACACACTTTATTAAGCTTCATAATAGCACTTCAACAACTCTGGTCTGATTTTAATGCGCCGCAGAATTGGACAACTGACTGACGAGTTGGATTAAGTCGTCCTATGTGACAGACTATCGGCTTGTCATCCAGCGCGGAGAGATGTGGCTCCAAAAATAGTCATTACCTTGACTGGGGCTTCTAGATGGGGAGCCTGAACACGGGCCCAATATCCTCCTGGAGGCTGTGGACTGTCCTTCACACCGCAAGCGTGTGTGTTTGTGTGCATGTTTGAATGGAAACTCACGCTTGTGACTAACCCACATTTAATTCAGCACAATTAATTCATTTTTTTCCCAATTACCTTCCCATCTCTGCTGTCCTTTGAGCATGAATGCCCTACATAAACAATACCCACACTTGTCGACACACACCCACACACACACAAACAAACCCACACACACACACATCTACCAGCATCTCGTTGGCGGATGCTTTCCGCGTTCAGAGCAGGAATCCATTAAGACCTCAGACTTTTTGACAAACACATTATTGGTAGATGAAATGACTTCCATATGCTGTTTGTCAGATGTCAGCGGGTAAAGATATGTATTTCACGAGAAAATCAAAAATAATGGACTTTGAGTGCGGGCCAAGTGAGCTCAGAGGCGGGCAAAAAAAAAAAAAAAAAAAATCAATACTCCAGCTGGGCGAGCGCACTCTGAAGCTCGAGGAGGTCAAAGTTGATATTTAATATTGACACATTATCTGGCAAATTAATTTAACAGGTCGACTCGATTGTCACCGCATTAGGAACGCTTCTCTGTCAGCGATGAGAGGAGGTTAGAGCGAAATCTGAGAGCAGGGAAGCAGTAGGGAAACAAAAGGAGGCGCAATTAAATGCACAGTAGCGGCTGGTTCATGCCGGAAATTTAACAACCTGGAGAAGGAATAAAGGTGAGAACAGCCTCATTATTAGCTATGAAGCTGTGGGTCAAAAAGTCCTTTCGTAATTGCATCCGTGCAAACGTGTTTACTCTGATTTATATATAAAAAAAACAGAGTCAAAAAAACTCTCTCGCCATCTCATTACTGAAATTAGTAAGATAGACAGGGGTGCTGATGAGTGGCTCAAAATCAATAGGCTATTGTTCTCCCTAAATAGCTGTTTGTCCACTTCATTGATTAAGACCCAAAGACGAGGAAGGGGAATCAAACCAGCCAATTGAAACTGATTTCAGATGGTCTCCTTCAGTCCTTGAAGGCAGGAGCGTTTCTCAGCAGTTACGCTGAGACGCCAAAAGAGGGGGCTGTTCCACAGCGCAATACGCACAGGACGTCTGAAGCCTTTGGGCTGCAGCGGTGTTGTCTTTGTAAACTTGACTTTGCTCGAGAGTTTGTCAATCACGAGTAGCTGAGCTGAATATATTGCTGCTGCTGCTGCTGATTAATTCCAGTAAGTGACTTCACCGACGAGCCAGCTGAATTACTGCAGACCTTGTTGTTGTTGTTATGTGGAAAAGATGAACAAAAGACGAACCAAGTGCTTGTTTTATAAAGACATGTTTGTTAGTATTTAGGAAAGGGAACGTAAAGTCATTTAATGAACATATTCAATAAATAAGTTGTAAAAGTGTGCAAACTGTGTTCCTTAATTTATGATTGTAATGTAATTGATGTTTAGTTAAACAACACTGGGACTTGCTGAATGGTTTCTAAAATAAACCAGCTGAATCACAGCGCGTGGGATTCCTTAAAGGGCTCAAACATTTAAAGGCTTGTTTTAAATGTAATTTTCTTTGTGTTGCTTTTCTGCATTTCTCCAAGCACAACACATCGGTTAAAAAGTTAAAAGCCAAACATTTTAGAAAACATCATACCATATTTTGGTAACTGCTCATTTTAAAAAATGTCTGATTTTCTCGGCTCAAACTTTTTATTTTAGTCCATATGCAACTTATTTTAAGGCTTGGATTCAAAGGTTAACTATGAATTTATTGGAGAAACTTGCACAGTGGGGAGGCTTTAAAAAACAAAACAAAAAAAAAAAACAAGATGGATGGTTGGAGAGATGGATGGACGCAATACTAAGTGATTCCCTCCTGTTAAATAATTCCCACAGTAAAATGTCAGTGGGTAAAGACATGTATTTCACCAGAAAATCAAAAATAGCCCTTTAACGGATGAAGGCCTTCATCCATTAAAGCCCATAAAGGTGTTTAAGTGCATGTGTGGTTTTTCACTCAGTAACTCCCAAAATACTTTCTTTGTTTATCACATCTAATTAAAAACCAGCTTACATTTATTGTATAAAAGCAGCATAAAAAGCTCACTGTTTGGAACTAATTATTTTTGGGGACTTTTTTTGTAAAAGATCATCACGAAGAGAAAATTAAGCAATGACGCAAGTTCCGAAACTTTTTCTACGCTCTACTGTTTTGTTTTCCCCACTTATCTAAAATT